TAAATAAAATCCGATACTTATAAATGACCGAAGCAGTTACCTGCTCTCAAGAAAATAAATATACGGCTAATTGACGAAAATTAACGAATTTATAAAAACAACACGATAGATAATTACATAGCGAACAAAAATCAACAAATTTTAAACGATACATGATAACAATATTGGGAAAAGCTGTATATATGCCGGAATACAATGCTCCTGTTCAGAAACCGGTCAAAATCACAAAAAATCTTAAATATCAATTATATAAATATTTTTAAAGTAGCATCCTGTTAATTTTTGTACAGAGTATGAACAAATTATAAAAAAAGAAACTTCTTTGTAAAACCACTATATTCTTCGCTACACTCAAAATCTAACAATTATCAAATAGAAAACAATAAAAAATAAATGGTCTGTAACAAATAGTAAAACAGCTTAGTTGCCCGCAAAAACGCGCTTATCGGACTTTCCAACATCAGAACCGTTGCAAAGGTCGGCCAATAAATTAGCCATTTAGTTTTCACGGCCATTTGATTCCCGTTCCCGGCCATCAGGGCACGTAATCCATCATATTAATGTACGTGAAGAAATTGATATGTATTGTTTCATATTATAACATTCTGTTGAAATTGAATTTTAAATATAAAACAAATAACTAATCGATAACGTAAAGGCTGTCGGAATCGGTTTTTGAGAATTTTCTCCAAATTTGTAAACGTTGAAAATTATTTTTAACATATTTTTTTATCATTTTTTGAAAAAAAAAAAAAGCTGTACGTAAACAACGCGATGAATAAATTACTATGATATTGACTACTGCAATTGATTATTCTTTCATCTTCCACCCCCACCCTTCCTTTGGGCAAATGGAAAAACGACCATTTAATACCAATTATTCATTGTATATGATACACAAACAAAATAGTTCACGGTGACGTTTTTCGATAGTTTGATATTTCTTTCCAAAAGCCATGTATAGTGAAATGGAAATAAAAGGGGCGAAGACGAAGCATTTGATTATTGATTCTTGGTGTCGTCGAAAAAAATTAGTGCATGTGAAATTCCAAGATGAACAGAAGTGAGTCGAAGATTTATCACAAGAATTAATAGAAAATACTGTTTTGTGAACAAGTTTAATAGAATAATATTATATAGTAATCCTGAACAGAAATTAATTAAAATAATAATGAAATAATAATAATATAGAAATGGTTATTGAATGCCGTCAAACACTAAATAATGTAGACCATTTTATGATTTCGTGAAAATATTCTCGAAAAAATTAAAAATAGTGGACGAATATAATTTAAAATGCGATTTGCGATTTTCAAGTGTAACATCTAACCTAACCTTCTGAAAGGAAATATTCTCTAATCTGTACTAGAGGTCAGTTTTTAAATTTCGAAACGGTATTTGAAATGAAAACCGATTAATCGGGCAAAACTTTACGATTTTACGATTTTATAATTTTAAATATGGACGACATTTTCTACCCGAAATATTGAAAAATTGAAAAATGACAAGAGAAATTTTTTTCACATTTTAAATCTATTGTTTCTTACTGTACAGTTTTGAGCTATTATAGGTATTTTGATTTTGGGAGTATTTGTATTTCAATTCCGTTAAAAATAGTCATAAAGACTTAAAATTTAGACAGACTACTTATATTTGCTTTTCCTAGACGTGGTAAAATGTTCAAACTATTTGAGCTATGTTTTTAGCTAATTTGTATTTAGTTTTTATACGGATTTTCATACATGTCTACCGAATTTTGTTCAGAATCGTTTTTCGTTTGAAATGATTCATCTTTGATAAATACTTATAAGCTTCATAAACTTATAAAACTTATGAAAAATAGTATCCATAAAATATAATCCAATTTAACCATTTTAAACCAATTTAACCAAGTATGTACTTATGTACAAGTGATGTACTTAGGTTTTGAATATTAAAGAGACCATTAAAAAATGTTCTATTAAGAAATCGAGTTTAAAAGTGTATTTATTATTAAGTAGCTCGTACATAATATTTCTATTTGAATTTTATTTTTATATTTGTTTATAATAAAATGACGTCGTCCTTTAGACCAATGTATTTAATATTATTGAATGTATCAAATTGTTTGTCGCAAAATAATTTGAACGGTTGATTTTAGTTTTAACAAGCATCAAATACATTTTAATAATAAATCATTCAATGGTTTTTATGTGCCGAGATAAAAAAAACAAAAATTTTATCTTTAAAGGTTACTTTTATTTATTTTAATTTCATTAAAATTTTCAAAACCTGTATTAAGTATATAAAGTAGGTATACACAATAAGCAAAATTGATGTGATCGAAAAATAATGACGTCATGAGCTTAAATGATGGAACGACCCATTATTAACATAATTTTAATATTTTAAGTGTGTAAGTCAATTAAAAAATTCTTCAGTTGTGATGGCCTCATATGGGCCCAGGGGCCCCCACAACCCTGTCATAGAGATAATAATATTATAGGTACAGGTATCGAATACAGAATTGGAACACAATGATAGAAAAGATATTGAGAAGAGTTTGCGAGCTATTTGAGTATGATTACGAAAAGAATATTTTCCAAAGTTCACTGAAGAGGATCGTTGAACGGAAATCGAAGGATTTCAAAAATACAGCCAGTTTTCCAATTAATTACGAGCCACTAACGGCAAATGTGTGCAGATAGATAAAAGAACTAAAAATAAATGGGTCCTTTTGTTTTATAATTACAAGATTTGTTTTTCAATTATATTATTGGCAACTGTACACGCAAAATATAATTTCAATTACATTTACTCTGGGGCTTTTTGAAAATTATCGGAGAGCACTGTAATCGAAAGAAGCAATTTCTAAAAACAACTTGAAAACAATGAATTGAGAATTCTCAGGGTCTAACCTTTCTCAGAAACTTGAAGTCCATATCCTACACATTCATTGGTGATGAAGCAATTTGACTTTCACAAACTATGAGACCGCTTAGCGGTGAATTTTTGTCGAATAAAAAAAGAAATCTGCATTTTGGAACACTTTTTTCTAATAAACGAAAATAAAAAAAAGTGGCTTGTTGTTCACAGCCAGTTATCAATTATACTGCAACACCAATTATGGATTTTATTTTAAGCCGTGTAAGCAGCGGCTACCTTCATCTTATCATCGGTTGAATTCAGGAATTGCACACAAAACCTTCCTTATTCAACTTGGTATACTGTCCTCCTTGTGCAACAAGCAGTAAACGACACATTTTCCAAATTGAGGTATAATTTTAATTTTATGAATAATTGGATTATCCGGCGGTTTTTTTCCCCTTAGGTAAACGCAGTAACTCCACTAGTAATAACTTTTAAATGCATTATAAAATGTCGTATCAATGAAAATATTGTCCAATACTTAGGAAAAATACATTATACAATATGCCCTATAGAGCAGTAGTTTCAAACCAGTGTATTGCGGCACAGTAGTGTGTCGAGTATAACTGTGACGTGTGTTGCCAAAAAATAGGTTTATTTATGGTTTTAGATTCTGAATTGAGCGAAGATGATTATTGTTTTACAAAGATGTTTATTTATTTTTTGTTCTGTAGACAAATATTCTACTAGAGATTTTTCTCTGGTTTTTATGTATAACACCTTTTCTGAAAGGAAATCAGTTTCAAATTTGAAAAACCAGGAAAAAACATGGTAAAACAGAGAAAATTAGTACAACATTAAACAAATATTATCTAAGAAAATATATAAGTCCTATTTAATTATTTTACTATAATATGACAAATGCATTGTTGATAAAGTATCAAAATTCCTAGCAGCTGTGGATTTAGTTGATTTAACATGAAATAAATTAATGGCCCTGAGATCAGATGCAAATCATTCTTTATTGTAAAACAAAGTTAAAGTGCACACTTAAAATCTTGTAATAAAACTATAACAGTTGAGGAGGAAAATGAAAGAAATATTCGTCTTAGAAAAAAACTGCAATCATGACTTGAAGAATTTTATGTAATGGGTACCACTGGAAAGCGTAATATTATAAATTATAATATGAATTAATATTATTGTATCATTTTCTGGGGATATTGTGCCATTTTGAGCAAGAGAACCCATAGTACTATACAGTACCCATACAAGTGAAGATATATTTACATATATTATGTGTTTTAAATACAGGGAGAAAAAATACATAGTTTATGTATTTAAATTATTTAATTGTAATTAAATTATTAAGGTGCTTGTACTCATAAATGTATTTATTAAGTGTAAATACCACTGTTAACCAAATGGCCGACATTTTTAGCGATAAGGGGAAACGCAATATGATTGGCCGTTAACCGGTAGACAGGAATATAATATTATATAAATTGCGAAAGATTGCGATCACATAGACATTTTAACGGGAAGGGGGATTATTGATAACGATGACATAACATATCCGTTGCCGTGGGTGTAAACAATTAACCAGTCCACTATATTGATTGTAGGTACGCTTGTCCTACGATAACGGAAAATGGTCGTTTTTGGACGTTACAAGGGTTAAAATGCAATGAAAAGCTACCATTTTAAAATCTCTAAATGGAAGACCAAATCAGAAATATTTATGCTACCACAGTAAGGGAATCGGAAACCCAGCTGTTGGCAGTTGAACGCGAGCAAGCAGACTCCCGGTGGTCGTTTAGCAACTGCAGAGGTGTAAAGGTTACCACTCTGGCCTTCACATATTTCAAGGATGTAGCTGGTAATAGCAATAGATTGACGCAGCTTGGTTCTTAAGACTTATACGAAAAGCTAGAGGTTAGGTTAGGACGCACAACGAAGAGCTTGATGAGACTCGGTGAAACGGTTGGCACTAACACACAAGAGTCGAAAATGCAAAATTAGACAGACAAAGGAGAAAAAAATAAAATATTTAATGCATAGTATTTCATCTACAGAATATTATATATCAATATTTAATGTTTTAGTTATCAGGTTTAAAATGCAATAAAGATCTACCGTTTTAAAATCTCTAAATGGAAGACCAAATCAGAAATATTTATGCTACCACAGTAAGGGAATCTGAAACCCAGCTGTTGGCAGTTGAAAGCGAGCAAGCAGACTCCCGGTGGTCGTTTAGCAACTGCAGAGGTGTGAAGGTTACCACTCTGGCCTTCACATATTTCAAGGATGTAGCTGGTAATAGCAATAGATTGACGCAGCTTGGTTCTTAAGACTTATACGAAAAGCTAGAGGTTAGGTAAGGACGCACAACGAAGAGCTTGATGAGACTCGGTGAAACGGTTGGCACTAACACACAAGAGTCGAAAATGCAAAATTAGACAGACAAAGGAGAAAAAAATAAAATATTTAATGCATAGTATTTCATCTACAGAATATTATATATCAATATTTAATGTTTTAGTTATCAGGTTTAAAATGCAATAAAGATCTACCGTTTTAAAATCTCTAAATGGAAGACCAAATCAGAAATATTTATGCTACCACAGTAAGGGAATCGGAAACCCAGCTGTTGGCAGTTGAAAGCGAGCAAGCAGACTCCCGGTGGTCGTTTAGCAACTGCAGAGGTGTGAAGGTTACCACTCTGGCCTTCACATATTTCAAGGATGTAGCTGGTGATAGCAATAGATTGACGCAGCTTGGTTCTTATGACTTATACGAAAAGCTAGAGGTTAGGTTAGGACGCACAACGAAGAGCTTGATGAGACTCGGTGAAACGGTTGGCACTAACGCACAGGAGTCGAAAATGCAATATTAGACAGACAAAGGAGAATAAAAAAAAAAAATTGAATGCATAGTATTTCATCTACAGAATAGTATATATCAATATTTAATGTTTTTGTAAACAGGTTTAAAATGCAATGAAGAGCTCCAATGAAGAGGTTTGCGCAGCTTGGCTCCTATAACTTATACGACAAGCTAGAGGTTAGCGCTTAAACCAAATTTTGTTTTAATCTTAAGTAAATATGGTCTAAGTCGTTCAATTAACATTGAATTATCATTATATGAAAACCTATATAGTTTTTTTTAAAACTAAAATCACATCACTTAGATCGAACGGGTTACATTTATCTCTTAAAACAGATTTATGTACAGTAAAGGCCCTGTTTTTCCTCTGGTCTTCTATTTCATTTTATAACGCACAAGCTAAAAACGCCATAATTAATACTGCAATATAATAATAAATAAAATATGTGATAATAATGTTCAAAAATTAATAATTGAAATACTATGTACCTGTTTTTTTTATTATTATTATTATTATCAAATGAGTAGAGAAAAATTCTTCAAGCCATACATATTGATTAATGATTAAAATGCGGCTTTATTTAACGCTAAATCAAAAGACTACATTCAGTAATTTAATAATTAAGACGGTCTAGTCTAAGACGTTTAGTTTTTAGTCCATATAATAGTAAGAGAAAAATTAAAATCATCTATGACTATAAATGTTCGACTAAATCAAAACGTCACGCCAATGACTGAATTTGAACTTTTAGAGAATCGCCTTGCTGAATGACACCAAAAATTCTACACGCAGACTGAATATTTAATAGTAATTTTAATCTATGCATCAATGCCTCATTTTTCAAGTATAATTAAAGCATATTTTTTAATTCGTAGAATACACTTATCGAATAATAACATTTTCACTTTAAGTCGACTGTGATTAATTGTTTTCTTTTGTTTCGAAATGTTAATCATCCCGGCGACCGGCTCGCTATAAGCATTTGTTAACATTTTCAGGAGGTGGGACATATAATGGAACCGGAACTTCTTGGCATTTGACTTAATCAGACCATGCTCGAGACACGCGTCTGCAATCGTCAAGTCGGTCGTCCAGCTACACAGCTCGGCACACTAAATTATGTCCGCTCTGATCAGATAGGCGAAAAAAAAAAAAATCGTTTCGTCAAGATCGGGCGACGCGACGCAGTCGCGTAGAACGACGGCGTTCACGTTCGCGAATGGCGTGACCGGTAAATAATATTATGACGACGCGACGTGCGCGCTCGGATGACAAAAAGTCGAATTGCGCAGACGGAGTGTAAAACCGCCGCCTTTTAGCCGTGAAAACGCGCGAACCCAGATATCACTTAGGTACACGCTTGGTAAAACGCGTCGGCCGATTTTTCACTCGAAAATCGCGAGAACCGCGTGGCGAACGGTCGGGAGAGAAAAAAAAAAAAAACTACCAAATTTCGGTACGCCCGGTATAGAAAACCGGTACCAACACGGGATCGCCGTTGTTTATCGACGGTCCCAGACGCAATGGTCTATTCGACGATCACCGCAGCCGACGCGAACCGCGTAAAATTATTACAAGGCGACCGTCATCGTGCTACGGATTTATCGGAATCGTAATCGCGTGCTATATTATCGTAAATATATACACGGGCAACCTCTCGACAGCTACGGAGAACGCGTTGGTTCGGGGACTGGCGGAGGGGCTGGTACTCGCTCGTTGACGAGACACAGACAATTACGCAAACGTCATTGAACGTCTCACAAGACGATAATAGTCTTACCGATAATTTATTAATGTCGGCGATGACGGCGAATACAACTACGCGACTACTGGCACACGTGGTATAATAACAGTGTGCGTTTCACGATTGTTAATTTTCAAGTACAGAAAATTACAAAAGTGACAGGAACAAAAAAAGCAAAACGATTTGTGATAAACGAGAAACGAGCGGAGAACATCCGCTCGCAAGCGTCTCGAGTATAAAAATGAACAAAGAACGCGACGGCGCAATCGTCAACCGAAGACCGACGACCGACGACCGATACTCGGCTGCGGTCGGCGTGACGTCGTTCATTGTCGGGTGGGTGGCCATAGAACAGCCGGACGTTGACTTGCGCGCCACTAGCGATCGATCGGGGAAACACTAAGCGGGTCGATCGTAAAATTTCGTATCGCGTCATAGTATTCGGTGTCATACGAACACGAAGCACCAACCATAAAACCCGTCAAAATGCCGTCCGACTAAAAGCCATTATATAATTCTACTAACCGTATACTTTGGTACAAATTTATCAAACGGAATTTAAAATGTCAAAAAGCCACTGATTTACTTTTTCCTGCGAGAGGGAACCAGAATACTCATACGGCAAGTAGCTACTTCTACTTATATTAAGAGGTAACAAATGGGGTTGTTGGTGCACAATTCTGTCAAACAGTATGAGGAGGTCTAAACAAGACTTTGATGGATTGTGAATCTGAAGCAATAAGAATCGTAATGAAAATATTAATGTGTGGAAAGAGGTGGGGACATGGGCGTGCATACGGGGGTGCCGGGTGTGCCTGGGCATCTCCTGCCATTTAGTAATTGGTGCCCTAAAATTTAAGCCCCAGGGCATAAGGCCCATAGTTTCACTGATGTTACTAGAATAAAATGCAATATATTATAATATATATGGTAAAAATAAATAATAAAACGTAAAATATTTTAAATTTGCTTGGAAAAACTTTTTATGATTTTAACATCTAGAAGGCAATCATCTACCAAAGTACAAATAATAAAAATTAAACATCGGACAAATCGTAAAAATAGATATTGGATCCATGGAGCATTCTATCTTTTATTAGTTGTTCGCGTGTACGAGTCTTATTTTACGAGAAAGTATAAAGATCGTTTTGAATCATTAATTTCACGGAACGAGAAATTACCTCTAATGTCAATGTAGATTTAGTTATTAATGCGTTTAATAATTTAAGTAAGAGGTGGTATGTTAATATAAATTTGTCATTTTTTTATTGAATAAAAAAAAATCTAAGTGATGTGTATGCGTCATATATTATTATAACTTATTAAGTATAGGTACATATCTAGTTAAGACAAATTAATAAAACAGCCTACAAATATTGTAGGCACCTCCTGAAATTCGGGTCTGCGCACGTCTATGGATGGAGAAGAATACCGAAAAAGAAATGATTTGGTGCGATTGAGAATAATATATAAGGACAACCAGTGTAAGTAATTTGGGGATCAGGTCAAATGGAAATTTAGAACGAAGGTGGCCGATCCCAAATAGTTGGGATGAAGGCGAAGAAGAAGAAGAAGAAACAGTCAAAGTAGCTTTAAACGTGCTACAATGGTATGATGACGCCGAAATGTTCGATACGATCACTGATGTTGCACAACACGCCTCATGGCTTATCATTTAGAATAAACGATAATATATAAACAATATGATAATAATTTACATAGTCAGACTTTACAAAAAAACTTTTAAACTTTACAGTTAACTGAGTTAAATATATAAACATGTGTAATAGTGTTTAGGTCGGTCGGATTTTCAAAAAAATTGTCAAACGTACAAGACTTTGGACTGCACAGTATAATGCTTGTCTGTGACAATACTTTTCTAATACATGGCAAAAATACTCAAGGTAACTATATGTTCATATTACTTCCTGAAAGTCACATGATGTATAAACTGCTAAACATATTTCATTTTTCTGATATTTTTATTTTATTTTATTAACCATGTCAATATTTATTGTTTAGAAATGTTTTCAATAAAAAGATGGGAATGACCGATTTTCATTTTATATCTAGGAAGTGCTTCAAGAGATATTTCATTAACTTATACAGAATATTTAATTATATAGATATATTTTGTAGTAGTCTTTTGGACTAACAAAAACTATGGTAAAAAAATCTTTAATCATATATCTTAAGACTCAAACTTAAAATTTAATGACTGTAAGTGAATTGGTTGATACATTCTTATACAATTTAAACAATTCAATAATTTACCCTTATGAAGTAGGGTGAGGATTTTATTTACCTCCACACAATTTGCTTATTACTTTTTTTAAAAAATATAAGTCATAAAAGTAAATATATATATTCACATAATAAAAAAAAACACTATAAAAAAAATATATATATACAACTCTCTCTGTAAGCTAAGTTTGTAATGGGAGAGTTGAGTTCTTAAAATTATATATACTAGTAGTCAATGTTTTACAAATATTTGAGCCTACAATTAGTATACACTGAGATCCAAAAGTTGTATTACTATTTAAAACAAAATGTATATAGTTTTATGTATCCTTTATAAGTATGGTTTACCATGACCAATAATTGCTTATGTTTTGTTTTATATAAAAGTGTTATTTTTATTGTAAGTAAGCAATCTATCAAAATGTTGTACATTAAATTTGTCATAGATAAGCTTAGTACTATAAAGCTACTATATTTGTCCAATAATCTATTTTACTATACTATTAATTATTACTTTTAATTTTTCTAAGTGTATATTTAAGCATAAATCCAAAACATTATTATTATTGTTCCATAACTAAAAAAATTACACAAAAAAAAATGTAAATAATTCTCTTAATTTTAGTATTAAAATATCTTTTTACATCTTAAGAGAAAAATAAAAATAAATGTAAATTAGAAATCAATGTGTTAATAAGACACACCATTTTATTTTACTATCCAAAATAACACTCTAATAGTTATATTCTTCCACTTTTAGCAATTCATTACACTTACAATTAATAACATCTAGTGCTAAAGTCATAATCAAAAAAAAAATGCTATTTTAGCTAAAGGTTATAATTTAAAGGAGAATCTTTGATTTTAAATAGCATATACTTGGACTTAGATATATTTAACATTCAAATATGAATATGTAACAATACCTTAATCTAATGCAATAATATATTTTTTATTTTATATAAAACTTCATAATTCATAAGTTTCACTATAGAATCATATTGCTGTATTATCAGAATAA